GGGGAGAGAGAGAGAAACATTGATTTGTTGCTCTACCTGCCCATCCATGCACCCATTGGTTGTGCATGTGCCTTAACAGGGGGTCGAACTGCAACCCTGGCCCACCGGCCTGACGCTCCAAACAACTGACCCTCCTGGCGGGGGCTGTGTTATCACCACTGATTTAACTTGTACTAAGCCTCTAATAAGTGTAAGAATGCACGAGTTCCCCCCTTCAGGCTGGGAGTCTGAACAGACCAGATTCTAGATCAGCAGGACTGACGGTATCCTTGCCCTGAGGCGATGTAGAATCAAGTAGGAGTGAAGAGATTACAGAGAGAGCCCTAACGTCTGGCCGTAGCTCAGCCCTAGAACCTAAGCACACCAACGGAGTCCGCAGCCCCTCCCTCCGGCTGGACGGCTGTTCCAGCTGCTCGGCTAGGCCTCTGCACCCCTCCGCCTCGCAGTGTTGGGAACCAGGGAAGTAATACCTGTGAGAAGCCCTTCCTAAACCGAGCCCTCCCTTGGGTCCTTTTGCTCTGATAATCAGTAGAAAGAGGGTCCCAAGACTTGCCTTCCTTTGGGAGAAGGAACCTCCTCACCTCTGGCCTCCCCACCACCCAAGCCCGGGCCGTTCTCCCAGGCCGAGGCGGGCTCTCCTGGGCTCAAGCACAGCAATGCTCCCCACGTTCCCCACAGCAATGTTCCCCCAGTGGGAACAGCAGGGGCGCAGCGTGAAGAAGAGTTGAGGCACCGCCTTACCTGTGGGGGTCTGCCCACCCAGTTCCTCGGGCCCCATGCTATCCTCCAGGTACAACTGTCAGCACCCCTGGAAACCAAGGGTTTGGGCTCTGGGATGGAAACCCAAGGGCCAAGCTCCCTGAGAAGCCCCGCCCCCCCATTCACCCACCTCCCAACGGCTTAGTCACCAACAGGCGTTCAGGGAGCCTCCTCTGTCTGCCCAACACCAGGTTGGGTGCAACGTGGGAAGACATGACCAACACATTAAATAGTGACAAAATACTCTAAGGAACCACGTGCTAAACCCAACAATGTTATCAGTAAGGGCTACGGGGGTGCGGAGAAGGGAAGAAGTCAGTGTAGACTGGAGACATCCTGGAGAGCTTCCTGGAGAAGGCAGCAGCTCTTGAACTCAACTCTGAAGAATGGAGAGGGAAAAGCACAGCACGAAAAAAAGGCAAAGGGCAGGGAAGGAGCATGGCACGTATAAAGGGGAGGCTGGCCCCTCATATTAGAGAATGGCAGTGAAGTGGGGTGGGTGACAGTGGGGGTTGAAGCCTCGAGAAACAGCCAGAGGATCTCCGACGTGACCGGGGAGGCAACAGGGACCCACTCTCGGTTCTGTAGCAGGGCCTGGTCACGATTAAGGTAGTCTGGTCCCTAAAGGAATCAGTGAAGAGGCGCAGAGAATAGGAGCTGGGACAGACGGAAGACGCCAGCTTCCCTGCCCCAGCAGGAACTCCCGCTTCAGCCTCAGGGAAGGAAGAAATGCCCCGTTTTCCTCATCCACTTGCTTTACATTTCATTCATGTTGTGATATTCTACGTCTTAAATTTTTGTGTGTGTGGTGCGGGGGAGGGCAGGAAAGTCTGGGAAGGCCGGCAATCTCAGATGGACTGAGAAGTAAGGAGGAGCCCTCACTTAATCACTGTGGCCTGCCTGACAAGGGCGGCATTGGAAAAGGAAACTACGCAGAGGAGGAGGCTTTGGGGGAAGAAGGTCCCGCAGGGAAGGGGCAGGTGCAGACTGGAGTCAGGCGGGAGCCCCGCCCACCGGGGCCCCAGCCACCTCCCGGCCGCCCTCTGCGCCCGGCGCCCTGCTCCCTGCTCTCTGCCACCACAACCCCCACTCCCAAACAGGCCAGGCTCTGCCGTGCCTCGGAACCTCTGTCCACACCGCACACCTAAATTCCGATTGGTCCCCTAAAAGCCAAAAGCCACTTCTTGCTGACGTATGGATGACCCCCTGCAGAATGAGTCTAAGTCCCGCCCTGGCTGGTCTGGTGTGGGTCAGCAGGTTGAACGCCAGCCTGCAAACGGAAAGGTCATTGGTTCGATTCCCAGTCAGCGCACATGCCTGGGTTGCAGGCCAGGTCGCCAGTTGGGGGCGTGCGTGAGGCAACCAACTGACGTATCTCTCACACATCGATGTTCCACTTTTTTTCCCCTCTCTCCCTTCCTACCTCTCTAAAAAAATAAGTAAAATCTTAAAAAAAAAAAAAAGAATGGGTCTGAGTCCCTCCAGGTGATGCCCTTCCTGAGGTGCCCAAACCCTCAGCCTGTCACAAGGCAGCAAAGAGTCCCCTCAGCCTCCGGTCACCCCAGGACCCCGCTCTGCACTCAGGTGTGGAGGGCTCTGGGGGTCAGCTCCGGGACAGTGCCCCACAGGGACTTCTAAAGAGTGGGTGTCCCATTCTGAGGTGGGGAAATGCTGGCTGGACCTTCAGGTGACACTGCCTGGGAAGCAGCGAGGGGTCGGTGGTGGGGAGGGGCTCCCTTTTTGGAGTTGGGGATGGAGAAGAGGCGGTGACCGAAGGTTTAAGGGTTTCTAGAAAAGCTTCCGATGGCTGTTAAAGCTGGGTGACAGGTGCACGGGGTTCGTTACTCCTCTCTCGCGACTTCCGTGGGTGTCGGAGATGGTTCGCGGTAGACAAGTCTTCTTAAATTTTAGTAGGAAACTTAAAATTGGGAAAATGTACCTATTATCTTCATTTTCCCAGCAAGTTGAGAAAAGATTCCCTTATTTATTTATTTTTAAAGATTTTACTTACTTTTTAGAGAGAGGGGAAGAGAGGGAGAAAGAGGGGGAGAGAAACATCAATCGGCTTCCTCTCGCAAGCCCCCAGCCCCCTCCCTGCCCGCCCGCCTTCAGCCAGCGACCTGGCCGACAGCCCCAGCATGTGCCCTGCGGAGAATCAAACTGGTGACCTTTCGGTTCCCTGCGCGGTCTGCAGCTCAGTCCCCTGAACCATGCCAGCCAGGGCGGGTTTCCTTTTTTACCATACGTAACTAAGGGCAAGCCTCCACACTACTTCTTCAAGGGAGCAGTTGGAGGACTACAGAATTTGTAGAAGCTTCTGTAGGTCTGAAAGTTCTTAGATCTAAGCTTCTGGCCCGAAGGCTAAGGAAGGGCAGAAACAGCACCACGCATAACAAGGGCTTAAAGAGCAAAGCTCCTCCCCTCGCTCCAGGAGGTCAAGAGTTGGGCAATTGACCAGAGAGGGAAATGGTCCCCCTCTTTTCCTATCCCGGAGATCACACTTACTGCTCGGGCCAAGCCGAGTCCCTCTCTCCTGCTAGACTGGCACTGGCTGCCCCCCTTCTAGGCTCTACCAGCAAAGTCACGTCTGCCTTCCCAGAGCCTGAAAACAATCAGGTCGCCAAATCCCCACCCTATTTTGAACTTTCTCTAGAGCAAATCCCCAAACAATGTGCTGAGGCTAATGCCTTCCTTTTCAGACCTGGGGTGAAGACAAGTGAGAGTGGCGGTGAGATGCCCCAGGTGGTGGCAATTCACAGCATTTCCCATTTCCGCTCCCTTCGCCGTGTTGGAGGGTCAACAGTCTTCTCCCTGATCAAACAGGCAGGACAGCAGCCCCGTCCTTGGTGGTCTGGTCTTCCCCGGCCTTTCCTTCCTTCTCCATCGCCTCCGCCTCCGCCCCTCTCTCACTGCTGAAGCCCTGCACGGGCTGGCTCCCACCCTCCCCACGACCCCCACCAAAGCGTCTCTTAGAAAAGCCACCAGCTACCTCCAGTTCGTCAGAGGCGATGGTCATGGCTCAACGGATTCGGCTTCCACAGGGCTGGGTGGCCACTCTCCCCGGAGAACCTTCTCTCTGAGACTCCACTCTCTTCTTCCTCCCAGGCCGCTCTGCTCTGTCCCTGCTGCCTGCCACCCCTGCTCTCTATGAGGCCCATAAACGTAGGGATTTCTATAAATGCAATCCTGAAACTTGGCTTCTGCCCGCTGCTGCCGCCCCACTGCCGCCTCGACACCCTCCCCGCACTGCCCGCTGTGAGCTCATCAGTTTCCACGGACTTCTACGCCAGGTTCTGCTCTCGACTCCCTCCCCACCTTTGTGTCTGCAGCCGCCCGCACCTTCCTCCGCTCAGGCGGCGCCGGGCACCTCAGCATCTGGCCTTGAACTCTACATTCCAAAACCTGTTCCTCCCAGTCTTCCGCATCTGATGACGCGACACAACCACCATCAGCGTTCAGGCCAGACCCCTGGGGGTCATCCTTGAGCCCTTCCTTCCATTCCCTCCCCTGCATGCCTCCCATTCATCAGCATACCCTACTGATTCTATCTCCCACATCCGCCCTGGACCTGTCCCGTGTCTCCACCGCCACCCCTTCCATCCACTTCCCATCATTCCTCTGCACAGAGACCGCCGATGGCATCCCAGCACACTTAGAATCACACCAGCTTTCGGCGGGCACCCACAAGGCCTTGAAGGATGCGACCCCTGCCGCCTCCCAGCCCCGTCTGGTCCCACTGTCTCCCTTGCTCACTTCACTCCGCGCATACTGGTCTTTCATTCTGCCAAACAAGTCGGGGCCTTGCTTGTGCTGTTTCCTCTGCCTAGAATATTCTCTCCCACCCTGCTCCTACACGGCCAGCTCTCAGGTTCCTGTGGGTCTCTTCTTAAACGTCACTTCCTCCGAGAAGGCTCTCCTGACCGTCCCACCCAGAGCAGGCCTGTGTTATCCCCCATTCCAGCCCGTTTACTTGTGTTCTGCCCGTCTCCCCCGTCAGAACGGCAACCCCACGAGCACAGGAGTCACACGCGAGCACACTGCCCGATAGTCAGCTAGTGTTCAATAAACATTTGTTGGAAGAACCAAGGAACCGCTTCCTGCCTAGGGATCAAGCAGCCCCCTGAAGCACAAGAGGTCAGCCCGAGGGACACTGGCCACAGCCTCAGGGGGGCGGCGGAAGCTAGCTTCTGGTTTTCCGTCACTGTGGCACTGGCTGGGGCCCAGGCCAGAAGGCACCTCACCTCCCTTTTCCAGCGTGCCAGCCACTCGTCCCGCTTGCGCTTGCTGATGTAGTAGGGGTCCCCCGCCTGGAAGGTGAGCCGCGGCATGGGCCGCTGGCGGAGGCTGGACTCCCAGCCCAAGCCACCCCGAAGCCGGCCCCGGGAGCCCTAGGACAGAGAGACAACAGAGAGACAGACTGCCATTAAGGTGGGCACGGACAGCCCCACCGCAGGGTCCATTCCTCGTGGAGGGGAAACTGAGGAGGCACTCACCTCGAACAGAAAGAACCCAGGAGTTCTGACTCCCAGCCAGAGGTGCCAACCCCCCGAGTGCTGGGCAAGGAGGCCCTGTCTGGGCTGGAGACTGAGCAGCTGGGGGCGGGGGGCGGTGCACATGGGCAAACACCAAGAGGGCAGGTGCTTGGTCTTGGAGAGGGACTAGACGGGCACCTTGGGGACGTACGTCCAACCTCCACACCCACTTCCTCTCCTCCGCACAGAGGGGCATGTAAAGAAGGGGACAGGGGCCACCTCAGGCTCTGCTCCCACACACGTGCCACGGTTGGTCAGATCAGTGGCTTTCTTCTGCTAGAATCGGGATCCACAGAGCCCCTGGGGTTGAGGGAAACACTTGCCTCCATTTTCATGTTTTCGATGTTGGTCTCCTTGCGCTCTTTGCCTGTGGAGAGGGAAGAACAAAGGGCCTGTCGGCGGAGTTGCAGGAGTGGCTCGGAGGCCCCACCTTGAGCCTGGGGCGCCTGCCGTGGGGACAGGGGTCCTCCAACCACTTGGTTGTTCGTGTGTCACGCGTGACGGCCCACGAGGTACCAGGCGCCATGCTGGCCCCGAGGACTCAGAGCACAGCCAGAGCAGAGGACGAGGGGCTGGGGCAGGGCGGGAGGCCCAAAACTCCGGGCAACAAAAGCCGGGGCTGTGGTTTCAGGCCCACGGACTCTGTCCTAGGCACAGAGAGGGGGTCATCTATTGCAGAAGTAGCCCCACGCCATTCCTCCCAGTCACCAGCGCCCCCTCCCCAGAGAAGGGCCCAGCCTGCACAGCCTCCCCTGGCTCCGGACTGGAACTTTCGCTTCGGGGTGTGGGGCCCTGGGGTGGGGAGAGCGGTGGGGTATAGGGCCACTGGAGCAAGACTCTGGTGAAGCAACTCCATTTCTATGAGGCTCGGTTTCCTCATCTGGAAAATAAAGGCGCTGGAGATCATTTGTAAGATCTTCCTGCGGTCCCCAAACTACGGCTCCATGATTGATATCTGCCCCTCTACCCCCTTCCCCGCCCCATTCTCAGGTTCCTGAGCGCAGCCTTCCTTCTAGAAGGCTTGCATTGTGACCACCTCCCTGAGACCCCTGTAACCTCTCCAGGTCTGTGTCCTCACTGAGCTAAGGGAGATAAACCTTCTAAAATCTTTACGTGACTGGGAACATTAAACGCCTAGAATGGGGCTCGGCGTGCAGTAGGTACTCAATACAGGTTAGTTTTGTTCCCCTTCCCTAAGGCAGCAGTTCCCTGCGCCTCTTCCCTGCAATTCCTCCCCTGGGTCGTGCCTCCAGTTCCTGGAGGGAGGGCTCCCCTGCGGGCGGAAGCCCCAGGAGCCAAGGTTTTTAGGAGAACGTTCTTCACTCCTTGTCCTGCTCCTGGTCCGTGGTAAGAGGGCAGCCACATTCCTTCCTAATATCCCTGCGCTCCTACCCTGGTCCTGTACGTGTCCTCACCTCCCAGAGGCCAGGTCCCTGGCCCAGCTCTACCCGCAGTGGGAGTGGGCTGCCGTGCAGAGGTGGCCGGGGGCGGGGTTAATTACGCACTCCTGGGCCTCCTACAGGCGGTCAGCGGGAGTGAGCCCTCCTCCTACCTGAGCCCCAGAACTCCTTTCTTTGAAGCCAAGAGTTCCTAGTGTGGGCCCACACGCAGGAAGGTCACTAAGGCTGGCTCAAGGTAGCTGGGTGGGGGGAGGAGCGGGGAGGGCAGAGGTGGAGGGGGACACGGAGAGGCAAAAACGGAAAAAACAGCCTGGCTCAGAAGCGGAAACCCGCTACAGCACTGGCGAATGAACGCTTCATGCCTTCATGTGAATGAAGGCTTCTGAATCCTCAGCCCCCAGAGGATGTTTTCACCAGACCAGGGGCCGGGCAGTTCTGGGTTACCTGGGACCTAGAGTCCCGGGGGAGCCGGGCGCCAGGACCAGCATCGGGGCACCCTGCAGGCCCGCACTCCCGGGAGTACACGTGGGGAGCGCCGCGCCCGCAGGGCCAAGCTGGTCGGGGGGCGGGGCGGGGGGAGGAAGCGCGTAAGTCAGTCGCCGGCGCATGCGGTACTCGCTGACGCTTTTTACATGACAGGCCTCTCAAGGTCTCACTGGGACTTTCTCAGTCTCTTCCAATGTGTTTCCTTTAGGCCCCGTCGTCTCTCCACTGCACGCTCCCCAACATTTCATCGGGCCCCAGGAGCAGGGCTCGCCATCCAGCCAGCGGAGCCCCGCCCCCCGCCCCCCAAGTGCTCTGTGCCACTTCGACCAGCACGTTCTGCCTGGCGGGGCTCTGCGCTGCCAGGAGGGGGCGCCTGCCCTCGGACCTGATGATGGCACCCCCCAGGACCTCCCACGTTTCCTACCCGGACCCTCTGTGACATTTGATCTAGGGGAAATCATTTATTCATGCAAATGAACGCAAATCAACTGCTGAAAGAAAGAAATGGTAAGGATGAGGGAGTACTCCAACGGCCCCTGGATTTTGCAGATGCGGATACTGAGGCAAGGCACGGGGAGTGGCGTGACTTAACTACCTGAGCTGGAAAGACAGTTCACTTTATACGGCACCAACCTGATGCTCCCCTTTTCTTCATGCCTGGCCCCACGTTCTCCCAAACGGAATTACTTTTCCTTATGTAGTTTCTAGCTGCCTTCTCTCCGGAATTTTCTCCTGGACAGACTGGCCTCTGCACATGCCCAGTTGAGTGATATCACACACACACACACTTAAGCAAGCAAAACAACAAACTGCGCTGCCTCAGAATGCGACACTTGTCCAGAGTCAAGGAGGGTCAGCTGCTTTCTCAACACTTCCTCTGCAGCCAGTCCATCTGCTCCTGGCCCAGACCCAGGGTCACAGGCGGGGCCAGGTGGCTGTATGCCTCCCAGGTTGGCCCTGGCAGGCGTGGTCCTAGGGGCAGGGGGAGGACAGGGTGCTTCTAACACTTACCTGTTGGTCTGGGACTATACTCAGCAGGGGGCCACCCCAAATTCCCTTTAAAATGAACCTAAATCTCAAAGACAGGGCTGGGGCCAGGCTTGCCCAGAGGGCAGTCCCCGGCCCGACACTGGGTGCTCGGGATGAGGGGAGAGGAGCTCCATGCCGACCCTGAGCTGGTCCTTTAGTGGTCGTACTATCTTGGGTGGGTAACCGAACTCTCTGAACCCTCAATTTCCCCATCTGAAAAATGGGGGTGAAAGAGTCTTTCTCGCAGGATCACGAGGTGAAAGAACACACACAGAGCAGGGCTTCTCGCTCTAACACGCATTGGAACCATGAGGATCTCTCTAGCATGCGGATTCTGGTTCCCCAAGTCTAGGGCGGGCCCGAGAATCTGCATTTGTAACTTCTCTGGTGATGCCAGGGGGACCACTCGGAGTAGAGGATGCAGAGCGCTCAACACATTCGAGCAAAGGAAGCCACCCTACTGGCGTTCCTGTTAGCACAGTGATGGCATCAGTGCTGGGAGTGCAGGAGCCTTCTTCTTAAGGCCACCACCTGCCTGGCCAGGTGGCTCTCGTCCCGATTACTCATCATCTCCCCCATTCCTCCCTCCTTCTCCCGGCTGTCCTCTCAGGATCTGGGGCTCTGGCAGTGCCCACAGGAGGGTGCTCCGCCCACAGGAACTCGGCCTTAGAGCCCTCAATCTTCCCTGCATGGGACCGAGTGAGAAGGCTTCCAGGAGAGACAGAAGGAGGCCCCTGAACAGAAGAAGCCTGGAATAAGGGGAACTGAAGGGAGAACAGGGCCCGGTCCCTTCCTCCTTGGGTCCTTCATTTCCTTCCTCCTCAGAACCAAGCAGCTGAGCGCATACTCTCTGTGGCTGACGTTGGAATGGGGGCCAAGCCCCCAGTGGGCCACTGCCCACTCTCTAGGTAACACCTCGCCAGTCTCGGCATCCGGCAGTTCACAGCGGCCTTCAGGGTCCCACCAGCTCCAACCCCTGCCGGCCTCTCCGGTGCCTGGGCTGTGGCAGCCAAGCAGGAGTGCTGAGGCCCGGCTCAGTGAACCAAGGAAACTCGGAGTGTTTTTGCCCATTGTGTTCAGCACTGAGATTCTGAGGAAGGTCCGCCCGATGCGGAAGTCACCCTTGAACCATCTCTCCCTTTTCCCCTCCTGTCCCTGGCCATTTGTCCACTGCTATCCATCTCTGTGTCCACCTCATTTATCCGAGCCACCCTCTCTGCCTCTGGGCCTGCAGCAGCTCCTAAGCCCTCGCCCTGCCTCCCGCCCCTTTGTTCACTCCACTCCAGGATCCAGACGGCAAACTGCTCTTTCCAAGATGTACAGCACACCGTGTCAGCCCTGGGAGGGTGGCCTCAAAGGCCGCCCCGGGCCCGTCTGCTCTTCCCCTCACCCTCGCCTGTCTGCCTCCCTTGCCCTCTGCCTCCCTTGCCCTCTGCACTCCAGCCTTGTGGGGTCCTGTCCGGTCCCTAAGTGCCTTGCACCTTCCCACCTGGGAGCCCTCAGCCCTGGCCTGCACCACCCCTCTCCTGGGGAGGCCTAGCTCCTCCTTCAGCTTTTAGGGGGAACAGCCCAGGCCAGCTGGGCTCCTCTGTTAGGGTGCCTCACAGGATCATGTTTATTTTCCCTTTGACAGCTTTTCTCTGGGTATAATCATGCCCTTTTCAGTGCAGATTTCTCATTAGTGTCTGTCTCTCCAGCGGACTGTGCGGTCCTTGAGGGCAAGAACTACGTTTTTGTTCTGGAGGATTTCTCCAGATCCTGGCACAGACCAAAAGGGTGTTTAATAAATACCTGTCGACGGACTGAAAGAGGAGCTCCTGAGAACACATGGAAATGGAGACAGGGAAATCCCAGACCGAAAGCAAACCCCCCAGGTGAAAAGCAGCCTTGGAGCTATGGTTCCATCCTGCCAGCCAGAAAGGACCGCCCGGGCCCTGGGCCGGACCTGGGTGCCAGTGACAGGGGGCTCCCAGGAAGCTGGGAGTCAGCGGAGACCTCTTGGGACCAGCTCCCTTGGTAGGAAAGGCGGGCAGATTCTGCTCTCACATACCTGGCCTTTTTACCAGAAGGATGGTGGCCACGCCCCTTCCTCCTCCTTTCCCTCCACTCAGGCCCCTGAACACTCCCACCAAACGTCAGGATGCATCCTGGAGGCACTCACTCTGGTGAGGCTAGGGGCCCAGGGCCAGCCCTCCCAACACCCCCTGCAGGATAAAGGGGAGAGTGGAAGGGCACACCAACTCTGAGGCCAGAGACCGGGACAGACGGCAACCCGGCCCTGCCGCTTATGGGCTTGGGGCCTCTGAGCAAGTCATTCCTTCTCGCTAAGCCTCCATTGTTTCCCACCCTAAAACGGGCATAATAATTCCTCTGGAGGAAGACTGTTTGGAGGAGTAAAACAAGGAACACGGAACGCCTCAGAAAACTCTTTGCACATAGTGGGAGCATCATAAATATCAGATGAATAATAAATGAAGGACTTTTTTTTTTTCCATTAATTTGGAAATCTTTTTTTTCTGGAGATGCTCTCAATCCTGTATGAATATTAGGTTTGGATCCATACAAAATGATTTATGCCAATTAATCAATTCACTCATTCCACCACACGCACTTGGAAGGAAGGCTTTCTGGAATTAAAGTGCACATATGCAAAGCAACCTGGCAGGGCCCCGGGAGCAGCACATGTGATAATGTGTGAGAAGGCGCCGCGTAAACTGTGAAGCCCTGTACAAATGCTAGTTGTGCTCATTACTAGCATGTTTACAGCTTGGTTGGCCCTGAAATCGCTGGCTTAACCTGAAAGGGAATAGTGGGCAATTTTCCAGGACTCCGGGGCTAGGCCAAGAAGTCCCTGGAGGAAGGGAGGAAGAGGAGGCCGAGGCTGGGCGATGCACTGGCCGCCGCCCCTCCCCCACCCCAGTCTGTCCCAGAAAGAGTTTAGTCCAGTCACGTAAACTGTGGTGGGCTCCGGACAACCGGGCTGGGGGAGGCTCACTGGGCTTTTAATGCCCACAAGGGCACCTGCTGCCCCCGATCGCCCAGGCCAGGGGCTACAAACACAGCAATCCCTAAAAGCCACAGGTCTTCTGGGAGAGTGGGCAGGCTGGGTAGGGGCTGAGGGAGACAAGTGTACAACCCGCCTGGGGGGAGGGGCCGGGGGATGGGGACAGCTCGCCCCAGCCCAGCAACCATCAGCATTCTGCAAACCCACACTGTTGCCAGATCTAGCTTTTTTCCCCCACAAGAAGCAAAAGCTCCAGATTTTTATGAGAAGTGTCTTGATTTTTAAATATTGGCAATTACTATGTTTCAATGTTTAAAATACTACATGGGCCAAAAAAAAACCTGTGCTCAGGCTGCACTCAGCCAGTAGCCTCCTGGGCACAGGAGGCACAGCCTGGGTGAGGAGAGCTTCAGCTCTCGGGCCCAGCCCACGCCTCCAGGGACCGGTGAGGCGCCGAGTCTCCAACCCTCAGGCAAGCCCCATGGAGGCTGCCCCTTGCACCGGGGACTCACCCTCTTCCGCGGAGGTCCCACGGCCATCCTTGGGGGTGCAGCGGCCGTTCTCCACGGCTCTGGAGGCTTCGGACGGGGTCTCGGCTGTGCCCTCTCCCTCTGCTGGGGCCCCGCCCTTCTGACCCCCAGCGGGGCTGCCCTCCTCTGGCTGGGGCTCACTCCGCTTCTCCAAGTCTCCATTGGGTAACAGCTCTGAGGAGCCCGAGTCCTGGGCCATGGACGGGGACTTGGAGGTCACCGCAGGGTCCTTTGTGTCGCTGTTCTCCACCTGGAAGGAAGAAGAAAGAACACGGGAGAGGGTCAGGCCAGTGTCCCAGCCTCTCTGGGACCACTGACCTCTGCGATGCCAGTGAAAGTCGTACCCCTCTCTGCCCAGACGATTCTGCTAACATAAATGTCTGTGCGGCTTTGCATGATGTTCACATATGCACGATTTTGCTCAGTTTCAAGGGGTTCATGGGCCTGGCCCCCTGAAGACGAGGGACCCACAGACTCCCACTTAAGAAACCGGGGAAGAATACAACCAGATTTGCCAGCCTGGCTCCACGGCCGAAGCCGCAGCCCCACACCTACACTCACTGAGCTGACGCAGCACTCTCCAGCCTTCTGCAGCCCCCATTAAAAACAAATGCTCCCCATGATACCCCTACTTCTACTCAGGAGCCCCCCACCCCCAGACGGTTCTGATCTGACCCAGGTGCTCAGACCCAGGAGCACCAAGGCCCCAGCTGCAGTCTGTACGGCACACCCTCCCTAGCACGTGGTCCCAGGTCCCCCTTCCAAAGAGAAACGCATTGCTTTGTTCCTGAGAGTCTAAGAACAGAACTTGCTACAAGACTCACACGAAGAGTAGTCGTAACTGTCCTTTGTAAGTGTTGCTGCTCAGAGAGCAAAGCTCCCCTCACCTATCGCCCTGTGCACACGGGCCTGTCTCGCTCATGTCACAGCTGCCCAACCCTCGATGGAGGGGACGCCCCACAGATTAGGCACCCAGTTCCCCAATGGCAGGCCGTTGGGCCGATTTGCTTCTTTGCCGCAGTGGACGGGCGCACTTAGAGCTCTGTGCACCCATGGGTCTCTGCAGGCCGGGGTCCCAGAAGTGCAGCAGCTGGGAGGTCAGGGCCTGCCCACCTAAGTGTTAGTGGAAATGGCCAAATTCCCTTGAGGGAGTGGTACTACTCAAGTGCACCCTGAAAGGCGGCTTCTGCTCTAGGGGTCTACGACCTCAACTCTGAGCCTGCTACTGTCTGGGGACAAAGCCCAAGAGATGGCAAACAGGGACAAGAACCTTGGGGAAAAGGCAAAAATAAAAGCCAGAACTAATCCGGAGTCCTCCTTGGACGAGGCCGCAGGCACACAGAGCAGCATGAGCGTGGGCAGAGGGAACTCCAGGACCCCGGCCAAGCTGTCCTCCTGGCCGTGAGGGGCAGCCTGGGGCAGGCCTGCGTCCAGGAAGAGAGCCTCCCAGGGAAAGGGGGCTCTGCAAACGTGGGGCGCGGGGGTGGTTGCAGCAAGAGGAAGGGGAGGCCTCCAGCGGAAGCGGAAGCGAGAATTCCACGGGACTTGGGCACTGAGGGCCGAAGCCAGCAGGGCCAGAAGGTCAAACACAGGAATGCAAGTGCAGCAAGAAGGCCCTGTCTCTCCCCTCAGCTGCCATCCCCGCATGGCGGGACCCACGCCCTCCGCCCAGGATGCAGACTGTCTTTCCCACCTCCCTGCTCAAACCCACGGGGCTCCCTGGCCTGGGGGGCCCCTCCCTGGCGTAAATCCCCTCATCCGCAAGGCTTTCTCTCGTGTGTGAGAAAGCCCGTGGGCCCGGGCAGCCTGCAGAGTGCGGCGCGCCTGGGCCCCACAGCCACCCCAGAGCCCAAACACGGCACTCCGGGGGAGGCAGGGGTGGGGTGCCACGGCCCACTCGGGCTGAGCTCGTTCCTTGTCGTGGCGGCGCTCTGTCGAGACACCTGCTGCCTCACCGACACCTCAAGCTGGGGCAGGCTCCGGGCCCCACAGAGCTGCTCGAGGCATCCACATCCTGCCAAGGACCACACACCCTCCTCTCACCCTGGACTCGCTTCCTGTTGACTGCCGGCTCCAGGGCAGAGACGGCCACGAGTGCCCGCGCGGGCACCCAGCAAACCCCGAGTCCCCTCCCAGACAGCCCTGCGGGACCCCCGTCCGAGGCACCACCCTCTGTGAGGCAGGCAGATGGGGAGGCAGGGGAGTACTCTGCCCAGCTCCAGCCCCAGGGCAGCTCCCCACCCTGCTTTCTTCCCACGCTCCCCTGCCATCCTGTCCCCTCCCACCCCGATGAGCCTGCACCAAGCAAAGCTCTGGACTTAGGGGGAGCTACCAACTCTTGCCGTGGACCCCTTGCTCACCTCACCCACCCAGAACCCACCCTGAGCCCCTCACTGGCCCTCTGGGTGCCAGGGTAACTGGGCAGGCCACCGAGACAGAGGAGGAGGTCCACGGGCAAGCGGACTAAAGCAACTCATCAGATCTCTGGGGAGAAGCTGGGCACTCACTCCCCAAAAAGGGGCATTTCATGTCAATAACCCACACGGGGAAGCCAATGGGAGAGGCCATCCCGGCCAGGCCAGCCCCCCCCCCCCCACCCCCGCTCTCCGCCCCTCTCCCCTGCCGCTGGCGCCTCTGGGAGGCAGAAACTTCATCTGCTTAGACTGGGCGTGGAGCCGGGCACCTGGCCCGTGCTCAGGATTCATAACTGCTTCCGGACTGCCGAGGACTCGGTTAAGAGAGCAGCCTGCACGCATACACCTAGAGTTTCACCTTCGTTGCACATCAGATCGAACTGCTAGAGATTTCGGTTTTGTTTGCTTTTCTCTTTGTTGTCGCCTTGAAAGGAGACCCAGCACACCCTGAGACGCTCATTTTTTTCCCCCCCGTGGGGCGGAGCCCCTGGCCCTTTTAGGAGGCACCACCCACAGCTGCAGGCGACAACTTCATCTTCCTCTGACTCTCCCCTGTGGGGCTGGGGGGGAGGTGCGGGGCAGGGGAGGTGGCAGGGAGCACCTCCCTTCTCCCCTGGGTGGATGGGAGCAACAGCCTTGAGTAAAGCCCCGCCGTGTCACCCACTGCACACTGCCCCCCCCCCATGCCCACTATGCCTCATTCTGGGCCTTCAAACCCCGTCCACCACTTCCTGGGGGCCCTCAGAGTTTGTCGACTCTTGCCTTCCTTCCAAGCAAGGCCCCTCCACCCCGGGACAACCACCTCCTACAGGCAGAGACAGGCCTCGAGGTTGCCTCCCATGCACTCTCTGGGCTTCTCCTGTGAGCGGCTTATGCCAAGTGGGCAAGGCAGTGGAGACCACCACACAGGTCTCAGGCACACGGGGGAGGGGCGGCCTGCTGGCTTCTCGTGCGCGGGGGAGCCAGGGGTGCCGCTCAGTGTGCTACGAGAAGCAGGACAGCAAAGAAGTGTGAATGCAGCCGGACACGTCGGCATCAGAACGGGCCGAGGAGATGCCCTGGGCAGAGGGCGGGGGCACTGGCCAGGGACTGCCTTTTCCCAAAGGACCAGTTTTTTCAGAGAACTGTTTTAAAGTATTGTGATAAAATATACATAACCTACAATCTACCGTTTTAACCATTTCCCCGTGTACGATGCAGTGGCATTAAGTACTCTCACACTGTGGATCAACAGTTACCACCGTCCGTGTCCAGGACTTTTCCATCTTCCCAAACGGAAACTTCATGCCTATTAACTTCGTGCCTGCCCCCACCCCACGGCCCTGCCTCCACTCTCTGGCAACCGCCATTCGACTTTCTGTCTTCCAAGGCACTGGTCCCCAACCTTTTTGGCACCAGAACTGGGGTTTTTTTTTGAGAATGTGGGGGTGGGGCTGGAGGTGGGGACAGGAGCTCCGACCGCCACCTGGGTGGTTGGGGACCCCTGTTCTAAGGAACATTTTAACATCACCCGCTGTCTTGTCTCTCACACGCACAGCAGCCTGGGAGGGCTCTGGCCCAGGCCCTGGTCTTCCGAGGCCACCAGCTCGCCCCCACGCCCAGCTCCCGAAGCCCCAGCTTGGCCCCAGGAGCTGGGTCAAAGTCCGCTCCATGCTCCCGCTGACCCCGGGCCAGCCCACCGCAGGCCTCTGCCACCTCGTCTGTTTACAGAGCACTCGCACAGCCCATCTCGTCACAGCACCCCTCACACTGCACCTAATTATCTGTTTACCGCGTCTCTCCTCCACGGTGAGCTCTGTCTCATTTATCTTTTCATTCCTCTCCCTTCCGGCCCTCTACCCACAGCTCCCGGCACCAAGCACTGGCCACATAAATGTGCACACACGCATGTTTATGCACAGGCCCCAGCATAAATATGCATATGGATGAATACGGTTAATTATCACAATTAATCTGATGGGTAGTGTTACCCTCCCTTTGCTGAGGACAAAGGCTCCAAGGCTCACCTCAGGTCACACACCTTCTAAGTGGCAAAGCTTCCCGAATGACCCAGGTACAGAAGAGGCATTTGAAAGCCGCCTCCCTGCTCCGGGTTGAGTCTCTGGAAAAGCCCAACCTCAAATCCCAAGGGTCCCACAGAGGAAAGGAGGCTTTGATGGCCTAAGCAGGGCCGGGAGAGGCTGCAGGCTGTTTCCCTGGCAGCAGCCAGCTGCAAGGAAAAGCCAGCGGCGCAGCGAGGCAAAGCAAGCAGGGGCCTTCTGCAGTGAACCCGTCCAGGCTGCAGCCAATCCTCCAGCCTCTCCCACCCCCGCCTCTGCTGGAAGTCTGGTCCGAACCCCAGCACTCCCACCCCTCGCTCATGGGTAAGGCCTTGTCTCCCAAGGCGGGCAGAGTTCAAAGGCTCCAAATAGGAAAGTGATTTTTGAGAGGCCTTTTACTATAGTTGTAATATTTACACATAAAAAAAAAAAACAATTAAAGCCTGGCACATGAGAGGTCAGGGAAACAATATCTGGTGTCTGTGCGCACAGGAGCCCATTCACGGGGGCGCTGGGACGCTCACCTGGGCCCAGGCGTGGAAGGGGAGGCCTGGAGCCCCTGGATGTAGAAGCCGAGGCCCTGGGTTGGCTCTGGGTGCCTGACTCACCCTCTACTCTGGTGACGGGGGCTGTGGCTGAGAAGGGCTTTCTCCCCCGGACGCCCCAGCGGCTCTGGGGAGGGAGGCCCACATGCCAGCAGATGCAGGGATGGCCCTCCGCCGACCCATCCTCGGCCTCACCTTACCCTCCCTGGCCTTCCCCACATCACTGCCATGGTGCCTTTAAGGCCCTCGGCA